CCCCAAAACCCCAAAACCCCAAAACCCCATAGTCATACTCAGGATTGTAATTGAAGTTTATTAAAATGAATATTGGATTATTTAGGTTTCATTTTACATTTCTTACGATATAAGGGAGTAGAGAGTCTTTCTTAGATAATAAACATTGCCTATTCGTCAAAGAGTAAATATTGTTCTGTTTTCACAATTTCAATAAGTTTATGTCTTCAACTCCTCCTTTAAATCTATCATACTTATATGACCTTTTCGGTCTTTATCAAATTTTGAATAGATTATTTTCAGATCTTTGCTTGATAAATTGATACTTTTTTTATCCTCCAGCAACTCAACTAACTTACATTATTCAATTTTCCCAGATTTTTCATTAACATTAAGCATTTTAGAAAGTTGGTTGAATGGATCTATATTCTAGGAGGAATAATCAATGGAATTTATCCTATATCTTATCATCTCTAGGTCCATTTCTTTCTATATTAATTTTTAGAATAATATCTTGATATCTCTTATTATCTCTTGATTGAAACTTTGATTTCCAGGAATCTGATCAAATTTCTCCTTTATTAACTTTTTAATGTGCTTTGGTGGGTTTTTAGGTGCGAATATTTCGCATAGGTCTGAGAATCTGATGCCTTTACCGTCTTTTATCTTGCTGTAATTATTTAAAAGAAGAGATAACTCTCTTTCTGAGAGTATCATTTTAAAGGTTTAACTAAAGAAATCTTTCAATGTCTAATAGCATAGTATACCCTGCTAATAAATATCAAGAAATTTAAAGCACTCTACAATGTCAAAGTCATTTTGTTATAGAAGCGATATTCTATAAGTATCCAAGTCTTTTTCACTCTAAACTACTTCTTTTATATAATCTGTAAACTCTGAAATCAAAATTTTGAAGTCAAAATCTTAGCTCGATATGCTATGTTGTTGAGAGAAGAACACTCTAGAATCCTAAGAGCTTTCTCTGTAATCCAGAGCTTCAAACAGCTTTTCATTCATTGGTATCTCGATATCATCTTGATTTGAACTCTGAAATTCCTCCTATTCTTTAGTGATTAAATATTATTACTAATCCTCTTCATATTCAGATTAGCTTACAGCATTTTTATTGTAATCACTCTGTACTTTCAAGCTATTTTCTATGATCTCTGCTCTTCTATTAAAATTATCAATTTGCATTTTGTTTAAGGGCTCTTGTTACTTTGACAGTAATTAATCATATTCTTGTAGATCTTTACTTTTCCCATTAGAGTCTAGAAATAGTTTTCTTCTGGTGTCTGGCTTTGGATTTTTAATTTTAAAGTCATTTATTTGTATTTAAAACTACTAATCTGAATTGGTAGGAGAAGCTTACTTTTGTTTAAAATTAGTCTAAGTTGTTCCTTATATTTAAGGATTAAGATCTTTTACTTTTAACCTTAGAGGAGGGGAATATGGGTTAAGGTGAGATTATGTTTATGGTTTTTAGTTGCTTTGATTTATTATAGAATGATTTACTAATCTTAGTGGAGCGAATTTACTAATTTCTTCTTACTATGAGTATATTGATCCTAAATTAGAATTATTTCCAATTTGATTTATGTGGCTGATGTCATCAAATATTTATGAAGTGTTTTTTGTTATCGCCTAATCGTTTTCACTGTCATTCATAAAGTTATAGAAATCTTAATATGTTATTAATCCATCGTGATTTTAATCTATTCTAATTAGCAATTGTTGGCATCCTTAGTTTATCATTCCAGTAGGGTAGTATTTTTTCATAAAATTTACTAGATCTTATTCAATAATTTTTTCATCCTTAGTAATGCCTTAAAACAAGTCTGCTCTCTAAATTTTCTAGAACTACTCATCTCTCCTCAATTCATGAATTAAATTCATAACTTCCCTCTCTTTGATGAGGATTAGGATAAATTGTATATCAAATTTGCTTTGGCTCTCCTTAAGCTTCTTGATATTACTCTTCTTCGATATTTATCCCTTTTTAAATTTCCTTAAGCTCTCCGAGTAAGAATCTTCTTGTAGATAATCTCTAATTTACATTTTAGTTTGATAAATGAATCTCAGAAATTCACTAAAACTCCAAGAATAAGTATCGTAATTATCATCATTTAAGCCTTTTTGCTATCTCATTATAATCCTGATTTCATCTATGCTCATTGAAAAGTCGTATTACTGCATAAGACTGTATAAATCTTCACAGGTTATTGCTTTCCTTCGCGTTGATATATACTTATAATATCTTTAAGCAGCGAAATCTTGCATTCTTGTCAAGTTTTGTTTCAGTTAAATTATCTATAAAACATGTCAATAGCTATTATCATACCTCTTCTTCGATTTTGATAATGATAGAGAAAAAATGAGCTAGCTTTTTAAGACAAAAATCTAAGAATTAGGGGAAAGATCTCTCTTTACCTGAAGAATGCTATGAGTAGATTACACTTCGAGTAGTTAAGCTTATAGGTGTTGAATTATTATTTCTTGATTTTTAGCCTCTTAATTCATTATCTTCAATAGTCACGTTTGATATAGCTTCTTGTACTTTCCAAGTAGATTATTGTATACTCATTTTAGTTAGAAATAAATTTAATGCGAAATTCTACAATTTCCAATATTATTTTACTAAATTAAATTAGATGATGGGGTTTTGGGGTTTTGGGGTTTTGGGGTTTTGGGGTTAAAATTATTAACAA